CTACCTACCTACCTACCTACCGACCAGCCGATCAAGCCTAAACAGGGTGGGCTCTTGTACGTTTTTGTAGCCATGGGGCCAAGGGGTCGGACTTTTTTTTTAATATCGTGCCCTTATTAAGACTCTTAACGACTATACGTTAACAAACCCGAAACCCCCATTCTATCCCTATAGTGTCAACCCTTAAAGTCTTCTGAGAACCCTATATACTACATATCTAGGCCATCTAGGCCCTACCCTAAATTTAAAGCTTAGACCCTAAGCCCTAAACCCTGAGTCCTAGATTATCCAAGCATGTCTGCCAGGTGGGGCTGACGACAGACCAAGCAGTGCGGAGCTCGGCTTTTGGAGGCCCTGGGTCAGAAGCTTCTTCAGCGATTCTTACTTCCAAGGATCGTAGTAGTTGGACTTCTGTAGGTTCTCCATATCTCTATCTTTTGTTTCTGATGGACGTAAATATTCTATATGATTCCCCGTGCTCTGAAACTCCCATGTCATTTCAGGCGGGTTAAATAGGCCAAGTGCGCCTTTTCCCTGCGCTTCGTCAGGCAGTAGCAGTCGGGAGAAGTCTGGCCAATGTGCCGCTAAGCTCGTTCGTCCTGAGCCGTAAAGCCTCTTCGTTTGCTGGGAGGCCTGGCAGAATTCTGAGAGATGTAGGAACCTGATAAAGAAACCCTGGCCCTATAACCCCAAAGTATTAGGATCCATATAAAGAGCCCTAATGACGATCCAAGGTTTCTGAACCAGGTTCCTATATAAAGGGACTCTGTTGAGATCTCGCTGGATCGGGGGAGGGGAAGGTGGCCGCAAGCCCTCTTGGCCAGATTGCCTTGTACCTTTGAGCCCTTATAACTGGGGCCTTAGATTTCCTTTCTTTTTCTGGATTCCCACCCTAAACCCTAAAGGTCTTACGTTGAGGTCCCCTGTCATTGAAGTTTTCAGTTCTAGTCGCGCAGTTCCCCAAGGTCGCCATCATCCAGAAGAATGCATCCTGGCTGTGGGTTTAGGGTCTAGAGATTTAGGGGCTGGGGGTTCACGGTTATGGGTTCAGGATTTAGGGTTTAGGGATTCCGGGCTAGGGGTTAAGGGTTCAGGATTTGGGGTTCAGGGTCTGGGGATTCGGTGCTAGGGGTTAAGGGTTGAAGGTTCAGGATTTAAGGTTCAGGAGAGGTTTGCTGAGCTCACGAGTGGATTGCGAACTGAGGCCCTAAACTGCAAGCCCATAGCCTTGAACCTTAAAGCCCTAACCTTAAACCCTAACCTTAAACCCTAAACCCTAAACCCTAAAGCCTTAAAACCCTGCAAAGGGGTGCGGGAACAGTGACGATTTTCGACTGTTTTAAGAGCGATGTTGAAGCAAGGCTGTTAAAGTTCATTCGCGCCTTGCAAGAAAACGCGGCATACACGACATATTCGATACATGTGACAATCAACTGAACATGATTGCGTGATTCGTACATTTGCTTCTCCCCACTGAAACGGCGCAGAAACGAGTAGCGCGTTTCTGCGCTCTATTCTCGTGCCTTTTTCCGTGCCTGTTTGGTTGTTCGGGGCAGGCGGGGGGTGGGGGGGGGTGGGGCTGGGGGAGATGATGACGCCCTTGTCGGGCCTTCTTTTTCAGCAACCGCCTGTGGCCGGTTCTCGAGTTTTCTATATCGGGCCCCCCTCTGCAAAGCTCTACCACGCGAGCCCCCAAGTCTTCAAAAGGCCAAAGACGTGCTAACTAGCCGAAGCAGTGGTCTATAAAGTTTGTATAGTTGGGCTCCATGCAAAAAAACATATCTGCAAGCATCGTGTAGCTGCGGAGCACATGCTCCTATCACATGCCGGTGCTGGGACAGCAGCTCCCACCGCATACGACGCTGTCGGCTTTCCAAGAACATCGCATGCATGGCGATTGCTACTGCCAGGTCCGCAGGATCCGAGCGTAACAATTCAAAATGAGCTGTAAAGTCTGTCAAGTCTTCCGGGGAATCACTGTGCTAACGACCCAAGCACGTTGGAAGACACAGATTCCCGTGCCGAAAGCTCACAATGCAACGCAAAGCCAAGGCCAGCAGTGCGCCATGTTTCATGAGCACGTGGCAAATCTAAAATGCAATCAGTTTTGCTTTTTTTCGTGTCCAATCCCGTGCCATTCATGTCTGCATGAACTTCATGTGGTCTCAAGTGCTTTCTTTCAGCAATAGCAATATCCAGATAAGACGAAGAATTGACATGAATCCAAGCTACAAGACAATCCACATTCATGCCTCTTCACGAGCCTCTGGTCCCTCTGCAGGATGTGGTAGTGGCAAGGCACTGATGTGTCTTCAAAAAGCCTGAACATAATCTTCCTGCAACCTTTTTTCCTGAACCAAGAAAAACGCAATTTCCCGAAAGTATCGAGTTAAAGCCACCCCCATCACTGGGAAAACCCTGAACCTTAAAACCCCGAGCCCGAAACCCGGAGCCGGCTCTCGGACGGCTGGCTCTCGAAGAGTTACCCTGAGACTCCTTTCGGGTTCAGGGCTTGGGGTTTAGGGGAGACTCCTTGCCATGAGAGGCGAAGCCTCAAATTGCAAAGTTGCAGCCTGCATGTTGTTGAGCTTGGCTTGCGGCCGGTCCAGTGGTGCAGTTGCCCGGCTAAGCCGAGCCCTGGACCGATGGAAACCGTCCTCATGCCCCAAACTGTGCAGAACAGAACTGTTGATACCGTTTTCGCAGGAGCATGATAAGCCCATGGAGAGACAAACAAAGGCTAGCGTAAGCTCAACAACCCCGGCCCTGATACATCTCAGGAACGCGGGCGGATGAACATCGTCAAAGCAGCCTGGAGCTCGGCTCCGGAGGGAAGGGTTTTCTTCCGTTTGCGGGGCCGGGGTTCCGTCGGCGTCTCTCCAACAGTCAGCTCCTTGAGGGAATGACTGTGACAGTGATAGTATCATGTTTATTGTTGTTGTTATTGTTATGGTTATTATTGTTCTTACTACTTTTTTTGTTGTTGTCATTCTTCTTTTGCTTGTAGTTTTGCACGTGCTTTTAATTATTGGTAGTAGCAGTAGTAGCTGTGGCAGTGGCAGGCAGTGGAAGTGGCAGTAGCAGTAGCAGCGGCAGCGACAGGGGCAGTAGGAGGAGGAGGAGGAGCAGCAGTGGGGTGGGAGTGTGAGTATAGGACTAGGAGCAAGAAGCAGCACAGCGGGTTTCGACACTTCGACGTCCGACTTTCGCTGAATGCCTTCCGGCGGCGGAACAGATGCAGGCAGGCGCAAAGTCAGCAACAACGAAGTGCCAGCTCAACAAAAAAGATGAAGCATAAATCGTGACTTGCACGTCGAATCATCATGCCACCGCAAGCCCGTCACCAGACAAGAGAAAACTCCACACAGCACAACGGCGCACAGCAAGCTTTTGTGACCCTCCCAGAAAGCTTTATGTCCAACCTGCCACGTGCCAAAAAACTTATTTAGTTCGGGCAATGATGCGACCCCAAATCCTGACTGCTCATCATGCGAACCGCTCAGGGACGTTCAAGAGATTGAAATGAGAAAAACACAGACATAGATCCTGGGCCTGCAACTTCGGTCAAACACAAATATTATTAGCATTTTCTATTGTTGTCCATTATGATTGTTACTGCTATGTTCGTGGTTGTTATGACCATCATTGTTGTTATGGCGTTGTGGTTGCTGTTATTGGCTATTGGTAGTATCATTATCATTCGCAAGATCCTTCTACTGTGACTCTGTGATTATGTCGCTTATGTCGAGGCCTCAAAGGTCTTGCATAGTTTGTTTCCGTTTGCGAATCTTTCGTTTTTCCGTGTCTCTCCCGCGATCTTCTATCGGGCACCAGAGGTGAGAATGCTTCTTTGCTTCCATAATGGCAGATAGGTGGAGTGCAGTGGGCTCAGGGTTGCTAAGATCTGCCTCTTTCTGGGTACGGTCTTCAAACCCCCTGGGGTCTCTCCAAGAGCGAAAACGCGCCCGTTGGATCTCTCTAAGAGCTCCACCGGGTCGATGCCAGGATCACCGTGTGCAGTTCTTCAAAGCGTCTCGGAAGGAGGCATCCAAGAAGCAGGACGCAGCCCAGCGAAGTTGTTGATCCAAGGCCCTCAAAGCAAAAGCCACTAAGCCCAAAACCCTTAAGCCCAAAACCCCTAAACCCAAAAAGCCCCTTAAGCCCAAAACCCCGAAACCCAAAACCCCGAAACTCAACACCCTTACGCCCAAAACCCCCGAAACCCAAAATCCCCTTAAAGCCCAAAGCCCCCTAAACCCCAAACCCCGAAACTCAACACTCTTAAGCCCAAAACCCCCCATGCTTCGGCCGCACAGCCTGAACCACTCAAGAACCCGGCCCCTGGAGTTCTTGTTGGTCAAAACCTGAAGGTTTTTAGTTTTTTTTCAAAGGTTTGTTTCAGCCCTGACCCTGAACCCTAAACCCTAAACCCTAAACCGTGGGGTTTTTAGGGATTTTAGGGTTTAGGGTTTCGGGTTTAGGGTTTAGTGGTTGAGGTTTCGGGTTCAGGGGTTTCTTGGGTGACTGACACGGCAGCCCCAGCCCCGGTAATTTCCCCGTACTTTTCAAGCACTTGGTACACCTTTGGGTAGTTCTTGCAATTAGGGTTTAGGGTTTAGGGTTTAGGGTTTAGGGTTTAGGGTACTATATTATTTGGGACTGAAAAAGGGACCCTAGTTTAGAGAACTACCCATATGACAGTACCGTGCGCCCCAAGCCCCGACGTCGTTGATTCATGGCACCTAAGTCCTCCCTCCAGCCCGAAACCCTCAGCCACAGGTCCAGGCAAACCCTAAACCCTAAACCCTAAACCCCTAAACCCAAACCCCCTGACAGATAAGCTGCACAGTTCTCGAACACTATTTGGACTCGCCGCTCAAGTTGATGGAGGTAGATTGGACTGCTGTC